TGTTGTCTAAAACAGATAGTTTCGAAGGTTTTTAGGTTCAGGCTTTCCTTTGTGTTTTTCTGAGTTTAAAACAGGATTACTTTTTGTAACAACTAAAAGGAAGTCTTCGAGTTCAGTCTCTGTATTTCACACACACAAGTGCAATACCAGTGAGCGGAGTCAATGCAGAATGCTGCTTTCTGCTGCTGGCCCGAGCCCTTTTATATGCAACAAGAACAAGAACATAAACGAAAAATACCCAGATAACCCACATACCCATATCTAGTGACCTACATATTGATAAAATACAAGCAGGCAAGCGGGTGGGAATAGGGAAATCATTACCCGTACCATCATCAACATGGCTTACGGGTACCCACTGACAATCAAGCATCGATAGACTTATATATGACCACAAATTCACCCCGGACAAAAAAAAAAAAAGCTCTGCGTTTCCCAAGTGAATTTTAAAAGGAAAAAGTGCACAGAAGTTTAGGGAAGCCCCAAATGGGATCACGTGCAAGAGTAATGACAGGCATTACTCAGAGCATGACATCTGGAACGGATCGGAATTCACGCCGATTTTGCCGACTTCCTGCCAGCATAGATGCTCTCAGACATCTGCTCCTCACTCTCTGTGCAACTTTCAAAATGTCACCGTCCGTGAGTGATCGAGTGGTATCGATTTTTTCATATCGATTTTTGCTGATCTTTGTCAGTGATTCTTGTTTTTTCCCCTGTTAGTTGCTTGCGTTAGTTTTGCTTTGTATTGAATCAGTTTGCAAAAAGAAAAGATGCCTAGCTGTGCGGCGTTTCGGCGTTTTTTTCACTTTGTACATAACTGTTGATGGCTACGTGCATCAAGATAACGCAATATTTTCATGCAAGTGATCGCGCGAGTTTTTGACCGTTGAAAAGTGATGGAAGTTTTTGAAATTTGTTCTTTTCAGGGCAGGGAATAGTCTTCAACGCGCTTTGTGTTGTGACAAAAGTAAAAATCCGAAAACCATGGTACGCCGTAAAATAGTTTTGAACAGGTAGCATAGCATGAACAAGCAATTTTTTCAATTTGTAGATGACGCAGAAGTTGTGGATTCTTGTGGCTGTCATGGCGGCTGCTAACGGTCGTTGTGTTGAGGATTCAGGCACGTTTTCATGCGGCAATATTTGTGACGAAGATGTTGCTGACTCGGAAACGTTTGGTTGGGAAGTTGACTTTGTGGGTCGAACTCTTGACTTGGACTGTGTCCGATTTTATGGGTTGAAGGTGTGATGTGAATGTGAAGTGTTTGAGGATCCAATAACCCTTTGTTTTGATTTGTTCAGAAGGTTAGGTTGCAGGCAGCTGTGCGATGCGTCGGGCGTTGGGATGTTGATCTTCAACGCATTCTGGATCCGTCGGATTTTTGTCAGCTTCTCCAATTGACACACACTACCACCACAGGTAATTAACGTTAAATTATTCGGGTTCTTCAGTTAATTTTTAAAACTGACCTACTCTAATAGAACCCGCTGCGTCGAAAACTTTCAAAGAACCTGTGGTGCCTATTCTTCCTTCAACTACCAAGGAGACGCCATCAGTTATCAAGAAGACAAGTTTTTCGTCCTCGACGGTCAAGTTAACCTCGCCAATTTTAACTTCCCTTCTGAATATTTCTGCACTTCCCACTGATTCCATAGTTCCCACTAACGTTACGTTGGTTTTTGGGAATGGAAAAGCCCATGTAGAGGCTGAATTTTCAAGCACGCAAATTGAAGATTGGGTGTTTGCTGTTGTGGGTAGCTTGTGTGCTTCGGTAGTAGGTTTGATATCCGGGTGGATTATCTACTGTATTCGAAAAAAGGTGCGTCACTTGCTTTTCTTTCCAATTGCATCGTTTTTAACCTTGCTGTACCATTTCGCTGCAATTAACAACTAACAGCGTTCAAAAAAGATTGAAATGGGAAAGACAGTTCCTGAGGAGATTGATCTCTTTGCACGTGGCTCAATTGTAAATCAAAATTTCGAAGATTTGTATGGGAGTTTTCCAGAGTTTCGTCAAAATTTTGCTTCTATTCGCGGTCGATCTCCAAGGGTCTCTACTTTTAAACCTAGTAAGTTTGTAAAGATGGATGAGCTGCATGCATATTGACAAGTTCGTTGCTTTTGCTTGGGGCTTTTCTTCTTGATTTTGTTCCAGTTCCCGATGTTTCAAGAAATCTTGGATCGGTTGGAGCATCTCTGGAATTTGGAGAGGGAAACCGAAACAGGACTGAAGAGCCCCACGTCGTTATCGTCGAGTCACGTCGGGAGTGAAGCTCCAGAAGAGTGCGCGTATATTTTCTGTGAGCTTGACGTTGCGGCGCTATTGAATGAAACACGCGACTCTGATTTCTACTCGGTATGTGAGGAGGCATAAACTGCTTTTATAGTTTGAGAACAAGAAGAATATAGGCGAATTTTGCCTTCAAAGAATTTTCTGATCTCAGCTTCATAGCTCAAGCAATTTTTTTCTTGGCTGAAAACAGTTTTTAGCGCTCCAGAGATAAGACGCCTGTAGCAGAGTTCATTTTAAATCGGGGATAGGTGTGGGGAACAGGCGCACTTCTTGTAGGTGTTGATTCGGATGGCATCAATTCAATTCTTGCATTGATGTCATGCAAATCAATGGCGGCTAAACGCCGACGCCTGTGAACCACATATCGAATTCGCGCAACGCAAAAGTATATGATACAAGCAAAAATAAATGTGAGTAACACAATCAACACAATCAAATATATATACCCGAAATCTCTGAAGTGAAGTTGTAGAGCACTCAGTTCTTCCGTAAAAGTTTTTGTGCTTGTCACTGTTGCGGGGATTTCGTTGACCGCATTGATTTCAATGTTTTCGAGTCTGGGGGTCAAATCTTTAAAAGGACCATTAACTATCGTGTAGCGGCAATTCTCTTGAAATTGGATAATGCCAGAGTATGGCATTTCATACGAAGTTTCTGAAGCTGGCAATTTTTTTTCTGTAGATTCGGAGCAATATTGGGTGATTCGCCCTTTGTCATTATCGACAAAGGCGAACTCATCTGAATCTAATTGAACAACAAAATTTTGAGGCTGCCTCACCTCTTTGGTGACACATTTAGTTTTGATAGTTGATTCAATATTGTTGCCTTGAATGGCTTGAATGCACTCATCAGCTTCATGTATAGGAGGCTGTCTAAAATGGCAAATTTTGCATTTTGTGTGCCCAACATGTGGCAAGCATGTGGGTAAATCACTCAGTTGAATTGCAAACATTTTGGTTCCTTGTATCAATAGGTATTGATGCGAAATATTGACTGAATACCATTTTGGCATGCCTGTTTGAGATTCTTCAGCTACAGGGATGCTGTGTATTTTAAACAACTCGTAGTAGTCAATATTTCGAATCACTGGAACAATTACTGTCACACGATAGTAGCAAGTCTCGTTCTTGTCTGCACAGTTCTCAATGGACCCCAGAGTCAATGGATTTGATCTCAACAGCGTTAGCATTTCTTTCACCTGGAAAATGTAGGATGGAGGTTTGCTTTCAGCTTGGATGATTTTTTTGAGGGCTCGTTCCAAATCTTGTTCATTCAGGATAAAGCTTGGGAATTGAAATCGATGTATTTGATCCATGTCGGAAATTAAAGATGTGACGAGCTCTCCCATTTGAGCTACTTCTAAACTCAAACTCAAAGTTTTGATCCAATGGTCAGTTGTGTTGTCAAACGTATGATTTAAACTTGAAGCCAGGGTATTGGCTACTTCAAACAATTTGTTAGTATCAATACGATATGAAGAGGCTGTTTTAATAGCAATTCTTCTTTCAGGAATGGATTCTTCCAGCGTCTCTTCCTTGCGTCGATGTATGATGGGCAATAAATTTGTGTAAGGAACATCTCTAGGGAAATTTTGATTTTCCCCTTGCAATCTTAGATTTAAATTTCGTAGAGTACCACCAAATTTCATATTCTTGGCTTTCAATAGTTCAAAAGACACATCTGACAAAAGATCAATAGTTTCCCGTCCTGTTCTTTTCCCGATAAACTCGGATATTTTTTCTGAAATGGTTTTTGACTGATTGTACAAACTGTAAACATCTATTGATGTTTCTAAAGTCCAAAACGTTACTGGAACACACATCGAGTACAATTCTTCCAGAGCTAATCCCATATTCCCAGGAAAATTTCGTAATGGTGACACTTTATCAAATCTGTTGATGTTGGACAAAGTTCCTTTCTCACTCATAGGTATTTCTTGAATTGTGAGGGATGATGCTATAGTAATCCAGTAGAGGAACATCATCACGCACATTCCTTTAGTACACATTTTTTTCTGAGCAATGTTTCTCTCTTGCGGGAAAGAATGAGACTAAATTTTCCAGAGCATAGTTCAGTTGAGACTATATGGGCTGCTGGTAGGATCTCATTTTTTTACTTATCTCTTTTTGCCGTCTGCTGCCTGGTCTGCGGGCGTTGCTCATCTTTCAGTCTTTGTTCCTTGGCTGATTGCAGCCTAGTGCGGGTGGATCGAATGTTTGTCTGATCCAGATGTCGAGGCAGTAAGGATGTTTTTTCTTTTAATCTCTTTGTTGGTTTCTTTGTCTGAACCAGTCCTCGCCTCCCCGCTGTCTGCGTTTTTTCTTCTTCCTGATCACTGTTCGTGTCATCAGCAGCTGCGCCAGCATCTGTTTCTCCTCTAGAGTCGTCCTTCTTTTTGGATAGTTTTAACCCTGATTCTGGGGTTGGTGACGTCCTGGGGGTACTGGAGGCTTGTGGAAGCCTGTCTTCAATGGCAGTTAGAGTATCTTCTTCATCTAAATCAAAGAATCTTCCCACTTCTGACGTCACATCACCAAAAAATGACTTTGCAGATTGAAGCATGCTTTTCTTCTCAGGAGATTTGGCGATTAGTGTTTCTTCAGCATCTGAGGAAGATACAAAGCTTTCTTCTTCATTAGTTTTGTTTTGTGAGGTTGATGTGGGCTTTAGAATAGTCTTCAATGGCTCAGATTGTTCTTGGATAATCTCAGGTGGTTTATTGAAGTGGCTTTCATTCTCCTCATCTGAATCTTCCCCAATTATATCAATTTCTTCAGATGGAGTGGGAGATGGAATAGGAGAAGATTTCCGAATATAATAAGGACGAATATAGCTCACATGCACAACATCTGTCCATTCAGGATTTTTATCATCCTGCACACGCATTACTACGGGGTTTACTACTTCAATGATGGTGTATGGCCCCTTATACTTGGGTGACCATTTCCTTCCCACGTAGGATGAATATTCATGCTTTCTAATCCAGACTTTGTCTCCCTTTTGATAGGAGATTCCCTTTTTGTGGATGTTGATTCTCTCTAAATATGAAGCCTGGTTTTTTCTTATGGCTTCTTGGGCCCTTTTCCTCACAGTTTCTATGTGCTGGCTTCTGTTTGAATTTTCACGAATCTCGGTCAATTGTTCCTTATCCATATACATTGGAATCCAGTATCCTCTGGGCTTTAGCCCTGTGACCACCTCAAATGGAGATGCTTGCAGGGCTTCATGCTTGGATGAATTGTGAACCCAGGCAGCATATTTTAATAACTCGTCCCAGGTTTGACGATTCTCAGGATCTAAATATAAAGCAAAATACTCATGGAGTTCCCTATGGGCCCTCTCATTTTGGCCATTTCCCTGGGGACGATACGCGGTGGTTGTTGTTGTTCTGGCACCAATGAATGTGGACATTTCTTTGAAGATGTTGCTCAGGAAATTAGTGCCACGGTCAGTCAGAATTTTCTTGGGGGGCCCAAATAGGCACACCCAGTCACTTAGGAATAAACGAGCAGTAGTAACAGCTGATGCTTCTTTCATGGGGGAGAATACAATCCATCTTGATAGGCGGTCTTGGATAACCAGGATGTATCTATTCCCCTTTGAGCTGCTGGGCACAGGGCCCACCACATCAATGCTAATCTCTTCAAAACAGTTCTTTGGTACCCCTGTTGTTAAATATGGGGTTTTATGAGCAAAATTTTTTACTTGTTGGCAGACTTGACAAGCGCGAATATAGTCAGCCACATCTCGCTCCAAGTTGGACCAAGTAAATTCCTGTCGAATAGCAAATGTGGTTCTGTCTACACCACTGTGACCCATGGCAGGTGGGTCATGGAATAATCTCATGACCTGCTCCCTTAGAGAAGGTGGGACCCATATTCTGGGGCCTTCTTTGGTTTCTTTCATTATCAATCCTTCTTCTCTTCTAAAATTTTGACTGAGGGAGTTGTTTCCAAACTTCAATGTCTCATCCTGTAGCAATTCTTTGGAGATATGAGGAGTCAAGTCTGTTCTCTTAAAAGCAGGTGATAAATAAGCACAGAGCCTCTTGATCTTGTCTGGGGGGTATCTACTCAATGCATCCACATGAGGAATGCTTAGCCCCTTCTTGTATTCCACTGTGTAATTGTATTCATTGAGAGTCATGAACCAACTGATGGCTCTGCGACTATCACTGTGTCGTTGTCTGCTCAAATAAGGGATGGCAATGTGATCAGTTCGAATTCGGAAATGGTGACCCCAAAGGTAGGATCTGAACTGATTGACTCCATAGTAGACTGCTAAAATTTCGCGATCTGTGTTTGAGTAACGCGTTTCTGCATCATTCAATGTGCGAGATGCACATCCTATCAGCACTTCCTTCCTCCCCCCAATTTGAGTTAAAATTGCCCCAATTGCATAAGCGGATGCATCAGTTGTCAAAATAAATTCCTGTTTGAAATCTGGGAAGGCAAGAATGGGGGCTGAGAGCAAGCAGGTTGTTAATTCTTTGATTGCTTGCTTTTGATCTGGGCCCCAGATAAATTCTGCATCCTTTTTTAACAGGGAGTACAAGGGACGGGCTTTATTTGCAAAGTCCTTGATGTATGTTCGAAAGTAACCCACCAAACCTAAAAAGGCTTGTACTCCCTTGACATTTTTGGGAGTTGGAAATTCCTTAATGGCTTCTATTTTTGCAGGGTTTACCTTGATTCCCTCTTGACTAACTAAAAATCCCAAATATTCTATTTGAGTTCGAAAAAGCTGGCATTTGGAAAATTTTATTTTTAGTCCAGCTTTATTGAGGCGTTGGAAAATATCTTCAAGATGCACCACATGCTTTTCTGCTGTTTTGGAATAAATCACAATGTCATCCACATAGATATATGCGTATGACCCCAAACAGCCATCTAGGACAAGATTCATCAGTCTCTGAAAAATGCTTGGGCTATTCTTCAATCCCATGGGTAGTCTAATAAATTCATAATGGCCAAGGGGAGTGGAAAACGCGGTTTTCCATCTCTCCTCTTCCCTTATTTTTAAATTATAAAACCCATGCAGCAAATCAAGTGCTGTGAAATATTTAGCTGACCCAAGTTCTTCAAATATTTGGTTGATTCGGGGTAAGGGGTGGGGATCGGTAATTACATGGTCATTT